GGGGGGGGGGGGGGGGGGGGGGGGGGGGGGGGGGGGGGGGTGGTGAGCAGGCTGGGAGGAGGGATGGAGATGAAGTTTGGGGAGACAGGGGAGGGGAAGGGAGGGAAGGCCAGATGACAGTGGTGGTGGTGGAGGGTTGGGAAGGTGGTGGGCAGAACGCTTGGGGCAGGAGCGTGGAAGGGAGTCCTGGGCGTGGGAACATCACGGGCACACTGACCACGGGGCTGGGGGTGGGAAGGCAGCATTGAGGTTAGACCGTAAGGAAAAGGGGCCGGGCCAGGAGGGCTGAGGGACGAAGCTGGGCGGGGGTGGGGGGGGGGGGGGGGGGGCATGGGCAGGCCCAGGTGGGCGGGCCTGGGGAGCCTGGGGCTGAGGCTGCTCTCTCCCCCAGCCGCGCCTTCCTGGAGTACTACCAGCGGCACCTGGAGTACGCCTGCCCCACAGAGGACATCTACCTGGAGTAGCCACCCGCTGCTCTCCCGCTCCGGGAGCGCCTGGGGCTGGGGGCATCTCATGCGGCCACCTCGGCTTTGGCAAGGACTGGACTGGGGGCACATGGGACCTGGCATCTGGCGAGTCTCCGGGCTGTGCTGGGAACTCTCCTCCTTGCTCCCCAGGGGCTGCTGAAGCGTGGAGCCTGCACCTTCGCTACCCCTGATCTTTTCTCTCTGTGTTGCCCTGGTCTGCCCTTGGCCTCCCTCTTCTCTCCTCCTGTCTGTCTCTGCTCCTCTGTGCCTGCAAACTCTTGCCCTCTGCTCTTTACTTTGGGGTCAGAATTGGGAGGGGCGTGTGGAGGGAGCTCCCAGGCGATCCCCTCTTGCTTTTCCCGTGTGATTTATAAAGGAATTTTAATTTTTATAGTGAATATCAAGGGGTCATATCCCATCCTCACCATAGGGACAAAGAGAGGGACCCCCCCCCATAGTGCCCCACGAGGAGCTCAGGGGTAAGCAGGGAGGGGTTCCCCAGTAGGGCCCTGCGGGAGACTAGGAGTCGTGGTCACCCCAAGCCCCAGACGCTGCTAGGAGGAGGGTGCCCCGGCCCAGGCCCCGGCCACACCAGCATCTGCTATGCCGCTGCAAACACTCCCCGCAGTCCAGCACCTCAATAAACTCTCTGCTTGGTGTGACCTTGGCTATTTCTGGGGGGGGGGGCGCAGATAAGGGGCCAGGGGCCCAGGCACTGTCCATGGCAGTGGGGACCAAGACCCCAGGGTGATGGAATCAGGAGACCCCTTCACTGCTCTCTGAAATCACGCTGGTGTCTCTGTGCGGTGCGCGGTGGGTGCTCTCCAAATACACTTGCTTGGCCAGCGAGGAAGCTGAGGCCAGAGAGAAAGGTCACGCAGCGTGTGCCCTTTCCACCTGCACTGGAGTGCCAGGCTGGGAAGTGTGTGCGTGCTTATGAGTGTGCCTGCACGCTTGTGAGTGTGTATGTGAGACAGAGAGCAGGCGTCAGTCTGCTTAGATCTTAAGATTAGTGTTTTAAAAATTCTCCACAGAAAGCCAGAAGAAAAGAGGTGACTGTCACATGCCCTAGGTGATTACAGATGGTACCTCCTGGAGAAAGGGCTTCCCCGGCCCCCTGGCCCCAGCGAGCCCCAGCTCTCAAGTGCTGAGGTCAGCATGGTGGTCAGTGCCTTTCTGAGGGTGGGCCTGCCCCCCGCCCTAACCCCCCGAGCCCAGGATGCCAGCAGCTCCAGGAAGACAACAGGTGAAGGTTAAGAAATGAGAGTGAGAAAGGCCAGTGTAGACAAATTCACTGCATTAAGGTTGAAAACCACTGTCTATAGAAATCACACACCTCTACTCAATTTAAGGGCAACCGGCAAACAGAGAACATAGTCACGGGTTAGGAATCAGTAAATGGCCACGCTTCAGCATTTGGTTAGCCCCGGCGCAGGCCAGGGTCCCCCGACCCTGCAAGAAGACCAACTCAGCAGAACATCTACGAGAAAACTTTCCTGCTGATTACAGTTGAATGAGGCAGGCAGAGAACCCCTGGACGCGCACCTCTGCCCCTCAGCCTGGGGGCGTGATTCTCAGGTCCCTGTGGCTGCACCCCGCCCGCCTGCTGTTCCCTTCACTCTCTGTCAGGTGGAAATTCGACCCCCCATCTCAGGGGAGGCTCCATTTGCCCGGCCCCCACTCCGCCCCTGTTGGGCTCAGTCCCTCCCTCCAACTCATCTCCTCATGTCTCTGTATCCATACCTTTCCCTTCCTGCGGTGGCCCTTTGGGACAGCAGCCGGACACACTTGGGCATCCTTCACCTGGAACAGCTTCCTGTCAGTAGGGACCTTCCCACACCTGTCCACCTTCCTTCCGCCTCTGGTCTCCTTTCCTGCACCGGCCCGGGCACCTTCCTTCACCTCCCCAGCTGTTCTTTCTCGGGGCTGGCTCATGGTCTGCTCCGGCTCAGCTGCGCTCCAGGCCCCGCCCTGGCTCTGTCCTGGGTCCGCTCACTGGCCTCCTCTCCCCCGCGGCGGCCTCGGTGCCTTCCCTGTGCTGAGGGCCCCAGAGTCCTGCCCCCGGCAGACCGTGTGCTTCAGCTCTGTGCTGTGCCTTACCTCACCAACCCCAGCGCCCTCCAGGAGCGCTGCTTCTGCCAGTCACTGGCCAGGCGCCTGGTGGAGTTCGGTAAACGTGGGACCCTAACCAGGGCCCTGAGGTGCAGAGACACAGAACTCCTGGTGGGAGCCACGGACACTTTGAAGTGACGTGAGCCTCTTCCCCATGTGCCCCATTCTATATTCTGTGCTTTGTGTCTCTTCCAGTTGCCTGAGCAGGAAGCGTGGAGGCACCCTAGACTGCCCCTGCTGTCAGCGCCACCCCCCCCCCCCCCAAGCCCCCCCCCCCCCCAGCCTCCCCGCCTCCGCCTGGATCTTTGTGCGTCAAGCAGCCTCCTCTAGGCTCCCACCTCCACCTGTGTCTGCAATCCACCAGCTCCTGCAACCAGACCCGGTTGTTTAAACAGGAACCTGAGCAGGCCGCTCGCCCTCTTAACTCTGCTGTGGCTCCCTGTGCGACCTCAGCCTGCCCTGTCGCTGCCCCTCTCCAGCCCCTCTTCCCTCCACCCCATTATTTCCACCCTGGACACTGAGCTTTCTCTGCATGTGGCTGGGTGACCTCCTATCCTCCCGGACGCAGGGGGGCCCTGGGCAGAGGCTGCCAACTGTGGGTCTGCTAGTGCCCCCGTCCTCCCAGAGCCTGGCACACGTGCTGGGGGCCCTCAGAGCCCTGAGTGGTGAGTGAGTAAGCCTCCAATGCCAGGACTGTGCCAGCCAAGGAGAGCATCCTAAATGAAAAGCTTTGTATTGTACATGTTCTTGTTTAAAATGTTGAAAACACAAAAGACAATCTAAATATTGACCAGTAGGGTTAACTGTATTAAGGTATATATACCTAATTGGAATAGTGGGCTGGTACAAAAAAAGTGTGCTTACAAACATTTAGTAATAATACAGAAATATTTGTTATGCTATTAAGGAAAAATAAATATGCAGAATCTACACTAGAAACTACACTGAAAAAGACTGAACGAAAACGCAAAGACTGCAGTCGTTGTTGCCGGAGGTGGGGCTGACAGTTTCTCTTCCTTTTTTTCTCTGCAATGAACATGTCTTGTTTCAAGCATTATATGTTGCTATTAGGGACCCCCGAATGCAAATAGAAACACCCACAGAAAACTAAAAAAAGTACAGATACATTCATTAAATCCAAACATAGGGACTTCCCTGGTGGTCCAGTGGTAAAGAATCCACCTTACAATGCAGGGGAGGAGGGTTTGATCCCCGGTCAGGGAACTAAGATCCCACATGCTGCGGGGCAACTAAGCCCGGGAGCCACAACTACTGAGCTCGTGCTCCTCAACTAGGGAGCCTGCGTGCCGCAAACCACAGAACCCACACGCCCTGGAGCCTGCACGCCACAACTAGAGATAAAAAAACCCGCATGCCACAACTAGAGAGAAGCCTGCACACGACAATGAAAGAGCCCACATGCCTCAACGAAGATCCCGTGTGCCGCAACTAAGACCTGATGCAGCAAAAAATAAAAATAAATAAATAATAAATACATCTAAAAAAAAGAACCAAAAAACCCCAAACATAAAAAGTTATTTTGGCCACAATGGAAATACCAGTCTCATAGGATTTGGTGAGTTCAGCTGTCAGGCCAAGAGCAGGACTCCCCTGAGCGTATCTTTTCAACTTAAAGACGATTGCTAATGTTTTGGTGTATTTTTTTTCCAGTTTCCTTCTTATCTATGAGTTTTGTTTTGTTTTGTTTGAGGCCAGAAAGAGATTGGGAGAATCAAGGAATAATTTAGGGCAAAAAGATTAAGGCAAACGGGCTTCCCTGGTGGCGCAGTGGTTGAGAGTCCGCCTGCCAATGCAGGGGACACGGGTTCGTGCCCCGGTCCGGGAAGATCCCACGTGCCGCGGAGTGGCTGGGCCCGTGAGCCATGGCCGCTGAGCCTGCGTGTCCGGAGCCTGTGCTCCGCAACGGGAGAGGCCACAACACTGAGAGGCCCGCGTACCGAAAAAAAAAAAAAAAAAAGATTAAGGCAGAGTAGCTAAGATCATTATAAAATAAAGAATGGTGGTCTCAGCTCAGATTCTAGTTATGAAACTGCTGACCAAGAAATTCATGATTTAAAATGTTTGAGTGGCAAGAAAAGGAGAAAAACATAATCATAGATTCAAAAATATAATCAATAAGGTAAAAAGAAATACATGTACACCCTGGATTTTATATTCTGCATGTCAAGAGCACGCTTCTTTTTGGATGTCACTGGGAATGTTTCAACAGTGGTTCGTGTGATAGGTGGGATGCAGAGCATTCAGCTCTAAGAGAACTGCCCAGGGAGACAGTCTAATAAATCAGGGCGTTTCTTGTGCCGCAGGAGGCCTGGACGCTGGTGTGGCTTCTAGAAGGTGACGTCGAGAACAGCAGGCTCCTTCCCTTGGTCCTGTGCCCTTAGTGTGTGGTCTTCGCCCTCATGACTGCCTGAGGGCTGCTGTGTCTCTGGGCATTGTGCTCAGTTCCATGCAAGAGGACGTACAAGGGCAGAGGAGCAGGCAGCTGGTTTCGTAAAAGCCCCACTGTGTGCTGTAGTGAGGAGAGGGCACGAATGAAGTAGGGAGGGAGCAAAAGCCAGTGTAAGGCCCATCCTTAAGGCTGGCTGCCCTTCTGAGAAGCATAAGAGTTCTTCCCTGAACCATATACCCGAAGGATGGGAAGCAGGAACACTTACCTGCTGGCTCCTGACCCCCACTGGTTGAAGACCACCCCAGGAGTGTACACCCCTTGCCCTTTAGAGCAGCTCGTTTGCGGGCTGAGAGCAGAGAGAAGCAGCAAGCCCCGCCTACACCAGGCCCGGGGTCAGGGAGCTGGCAGGACTCTCCAGACTTCCCACAGGCGGTGTCCAGCCGTGATGAGCGTCAGGGTCGAGTTCAACACCCACAGGTAAGATGTGGGGGTCACAGTCACGGGGGGTAGGAGGGGCGTGTCCAGGTATCTCTTCTTCCCTCCTGAGGGAAACCACAGCACCCACAGCACAACGTTCTGTTCCTTCCAAACACAGGATGGCTCCTTCCAGAGGATGCTGGGCTCCCTGAGGAAGCCACTCGGTGGGCGTGGATGGTCTCAGGCTCACAGGAAAAGGGCTGCTTTTCAAATCAACAGCAGCAGAGAAGGGACATCGCAGACAGCATTTGGGGCTGTGAGTGTGTGTATGAATATGCGTGAGCGTGTGCATGTCTGTGTCGAGTATGCAGGCCCGTTTTCGGGCGCGTGTGCACGAACACGGGAGAGCACGTGCGCACACTGGTGCCTCTACAAAGAGGGTGCATCGCACTAAAGCAGCTAAAATGATGAGAAACAAGCTTTTCTGCCCTCAGAGCCTCACAGCGAGACCAACAGTGGAGGGGGAGGGGGAGAACCTTGCGTTGGGAGGGTGGAGTGAACACCCGTCAGGTCTCAGCAGACGGGGAAGCAGCCCTAACTGGTTCAATCATTTCCAGCACCCCTGCCCCGCCCCGCAGTTGCACTTTTGTAGCACCAAGCTCTCTTCCTTTGTGGTATTTACTAAAGTTTTTTTCTTCCAGTTTTCTCGAGATACAGTTGACACGATCACGATTAATATTTTATTTCTACTGAAGTATAAAATATACATGGCATCATAAAGGGCACTCCAGCGTGTGGCTCAAGTGCATTATACATATGTGTGCGCCGCGTTTCCAGCACCCCCAGTCAAGACAGAGAACTTCTGTAGCACCTGACGGTTCCCGATCCTTGTTCCCAGGCAACACCCACACACCAAAACCTGGGAAGTTGAGTTTCTACCACACTGAACTCCATTTGGTCTGAGTGCGCAGGGTTGATGGTCATCTCCTTTGCTAGACGTTAAGCACCAAAGGAGCAGGGGTGAGTCCCCTCTGTCGATCTGTGCCCCAGCCCTAAGCGCAGCGCTGGGTGGTAAGTAAAGGTCTGTGGAACTAATAAAGCGATGCTCACCACCCAGCTGGGCGGCAGACCTGGACAAGGCGCCTGCAGGTTATGCCTGGGTGCTGGCATTCATGTATTCTTGCTGGAGGGTTTGATCTTTGGATGTGATACAGAGATCATGCACCTGCTTCCATTCCTCTCTGTTCTCATCCTGAAACCAAGGCACCTCGAGGTGACTGCAGGCCCCCTAGAAGAGAAGCTGCAGGCTGCAGGGGGTGGGCATGCCCAGACCACACGTGCACGTGGGCCCTTCTTATGTCAGCGTCAGTGGCTGAAGGGGCCCCCAAGGAAACCACTGCCCTATGGGGGCAGCTCCAAGATACAGCAGGATCTGACACCACGGGCTCACTCAGGAGGACCCCTGCACACATACACATGCCCTCTACACGTCCCGTTCACATATCATTCCAGCAAGACTGCTTTCAGCTGCAAGTAATAGACAAGCCAGCAGCACTCGGCTTACATAGGCTGGTTTATTTTCTTACATTGTGAGCTCTGGAGGTACGTGGCTGGAGACACTCGTTTAGCGGATGCATGATGTCTGGTCAGGCCCCGTGATGCTGCAGCACCGTCCTCACCACTCCTGGAGGATGAGTGATGCAGAAGACCCCGGGATTCCAGCAGACTGCCCCTGACCTTTCACTGACCAGGACCCTTGGTCACACGCCTCTCTTGGACCAATCACTGGATTGTGATTGGCTCAGACTGGCTACTAGCCTCCTGGGACTAGGACAGCCTGTACCTCAGAGGTCACGGGGCCTCTGCCCACCAATGAAACAGTGAGGGGACCGTTAGGAGGACGGGGATGGCTGTTTGGTCTACCACGAGGACAGGACACCCACTCGGGGCCCTGAGCCCCCAGACAGCACTCTTCTCACTCAACCAATGCTGAGGGAGCATGTGGGGTGTGACAGCCGCTCTAGGAGCACGTGGCCCTGGATCGGTACACACACAAGGGGACCCCAGGAGGGCTACATGCCACCACGCAGATGCCAGTGGGTGGGCAGGCAGGGGGCCCCTCTGCAGAGAAGATGCCAGACAGAGTCAAAGATGAGCATCTTACCCTGATGATGGGCAACCCGGCCAGCTGCCAGGGCTGACGGACGAGGGCTGTGGGGTGGGGCATGGTGGGCCACTCCAAGGAGTCTGGGTTCTATTCTGAGCATGATAGGAAGCCTGCAGTTTTGAGCACAAATGGAGCCCAACCTGCTTGTTTTTAAGAGATCACTTTGCCGGTGGGGAATGGCTCCCATGGGGGCAGAGGCGAAGCCAGGAGACTGGAAATGTGTATGCAGGTAGGAAATGCAGAGTTCTGGAAGGGGCACTGGGGGGCTGAGGGGAAGCCTCTGGAGCTGCTGACATGCCTTCCTCAGAGCTGGCAGGGCTCCCCAGCCCACTTCACCACAGTAGACCGTGTAACCCCTCTCCCTCCTTCAGACAGGTTTCTAACACCCAGGGTGGTCCAGTTCCTGTGCTTCTTCCCCGGGGAAAACCTGGCTCTTGTGGGCACTCCGCGTCTTCGGGGTCTGCTGCCCGCCATGCCCTCGCCCCCTCCTCACCCCGTCCTGGCACATAAAAGCACCTAGTTTTGCCCCCGTGAACAGGTGTGCCCACACTCACCACCACGCTTGTCTGCACTGACACAAGCAATCACCAGGGGGAGGGGGCAGCTTCCAGAGCCAACCTCTCACTGGCTGGGTGACCTCAGACAAGTTGCTGGACCTCTCCACGCCTCAGGTTCCTCATTTGTAACGGGCAGAACACCACCTATCTCAGGGCTATCACAAGGATCATGTGAATTCTCACACCTACAAGTGTCAGCTGGTGTTATTAGCGTGCTCAGGTACAAACCACCTCTACACACCCACAGCACAGCAATGAACCATCACACGCCTGGGTGGGGCGAGGGGCACGGGGCTGGCCTCCGCCTATGCTCTCAGGGCTGGAGCTCAGGGCAGTGGCAGCAGGATGGCCTGGGGGTGCAGCTGGGCTGACAGCAGACCTGCAGGGCAGGGTCCTCGCCCCGGGCTATCTGGCTGGGGCTGAAGGTCACGGCAGCATCAAACTGGGCCTTGAGCAGCTGAAGTTGCTTCAGCGCCTGCAGCGCCTCTGGGGCGACCTCAGCCACACCCCCCAGAAGGTTGTAGTTCTCACCAGGGTCCTCAGACAGGTCAAAGAGCAGCGGGGGCTCATGGGCAGTCAGAGGACTAGAGGCATGGCAGGCAGGGTCCGCAGTGGTGTCGCTGTGGACAGAGCCTGGGGAGGGGGGCACATCTGTGCACAGGGCGGGGGCGGCGGGGGTGGGCTCTGGGGCTATGGGGGGGGGGCGGGGCTGGGGAGAGGCAGTTACCCTGGGTGAAGAAGTGTGCCTTGTACTTGCCGCTTCGCACAGCAAAGACCCCTCGGACCTCGTCTGGGTAGGCCGGGTAGAAGAAGAGGGTCTGCCGGGGACTCTGGGGGCAAAGTCGGGGGTCTGCACATACCCGGAGCCTCAGCCCTGCGTTGGGCCCTGGCTGTGCAGTGGCTCCCTGCCCACCCGAGAGCCCCAGGGGCGGCACCCCTTGGACGCTGCTCGACAGAGGGTCTGCCTGGCCCCAGGGGCTTCAGGTGCTCCCCATACTCACTCCGGGGGAGGGCAAGTTGGGGGGGCCCGGGGGGGGTTGGGGGGAGCAGGGGTCATGAGGTCACGGGCCCTACCTTGCCTGTGCCCAGCAGCAGAGGGCTGAGGTCAACGCCATCCAAGGTGACATTGGGCAGCGGGGCCCCTGCCAGGGCTGCCAGGGTGGGCAGTAGGTCCAGGGAGCTGGCTAGCTCATGGGTCACACCTGCGGGTAGAGGGCTGTACAGTCACTCCATCTGTGATCAAGGTTGGGGAGGTGGGGCCAAGAGTCCAGGAGGAGAAGGCCTGAAGACTGACCGGGAGCGATGTGGCCTGGCCAGAAGGCCAAGGCAGGCTCTCGGACGCCCCCCTCGAAAGTGGTTCCCTTTCCGCATCGCAGGAGGCCAGAGCAGCCGCCGTGGGACATCCGCATCGTCTCAGGTCTGCAACACCCGAGAGGTTATCTGCGATGAGGGGCCCAGGGTCTCTGGCCTGCCCCAGTGACCCCAGCCCCAGACTTCTAAGTTACACATTTTTCCCAGAAACGGCCAGCATGTGCCTGTCCGCTCCCTGTCCTACCAAGACAAGCACCTCCATGTACTCGTGGCCCCCAGCCTCCCACACACATGCACCTGGTGTCACCACATATGGCCAGCATCTCCCGAGACCCCCTTATCCCACTACGTCCTCGGCCAGCAGTCAAGATGGGAAGACCCCAGGGCCCTGTGAGGGATCGACCAGCATCCTCTGCCCCCTGCCGGAGTACCCGTTGTCTGCAGTGAAGAAGACCAGTGTCTCTCCGAGCAGCCCCAGGTCCCCCACAGCCGTCATCAGGGCCCCCACGGCCGCATCCAGCTCCATCAGGGAGTCCCCAAACGGCCCTCGGCCTGAGCGCCCCGAAAAGCTCTGCCCACTGAACTGGGGGTAGTGGGTGTGCTGGGGATGGAGACTGGAGTTAGCAGCAGGTAGAGGTCACGGGCAGCCCTGGGCTGGGGGGGGGGGGCACGATCACTCACATGGGAGGCGTAGTACAGGAAGAACGGGCGGCCCTGGCGCTGGGCATCTGCCATGAGGTCACGGGCGAAGGCCACGTAGCGGGCCTCAAGTCCAGGAAGCCAAGGGGGCTGTGCCTCCACCGATAGGTTGGCCAACAGAGGGACAGGGACCAGGCCCTGGTCGCAGCCGCCATCGCAGGGGGTGGCCGGCGGGAAGCAGGTCAGGTTCTGGCAAGGGCCCTGGGGGAGCAGCTCCTTCAGAGGTCTGGGCTGTGGGCTGGGGCTGTAGGGTCAAAGGGACGGATCCCTGTGGTTCCTACCTGGTCATGGGAGTATGGGATGCCCAGGAATCGATGGAAGCCATGGTGGGGGGGGCAGAAAGGCCCCCTCAGGCCCCACCCCAAGGTGCCATTTGCCAGCTATCCCTGTGAGGTAGCCTCGGGCAGCCAGGACCTCAGCCAGGGTCACCTCCTCCAGGGGCAGGCCCCCTCGGGAGCTGGGCTCCAGAACGCCAGGGTACAGGCCCATCCGAACTGGGAGTCGGCCGGTCAGGAGGGCAGCCCTATAGGACAAGTCACAGAGTCCGTGAGAGGGAGCAAAAGTGATTGAGATGGACACAAGGAGAAGGGGAGGGAGAGGGCAAAAACAAAGAGACGCGAACTTCTCCACAGAGGGATGGAGACCCTCTTCCTCCCTCTGCAACCCAGAGTGCATCTGGGAGGAACTGGATGGGCAGGGGTGGGCATTTGGGGTGAGGGCTCCCGGTCTCCTTGCTCACCGGGAGGGTGTGCACAGAGACACAGGCACGTAGAAGTCCGTGAACCGCAGACCCCCTGCGGCCAGTTGGTCCAGATTGGGGGTGGTGGAACTGGGGTGTCCATAGGAGCCCAGGTCCCCATAGCCCAGGTCATCAGCAAAGATCAGCACAATGTTGGGTGGGCTGGTAGCAGCCAGGCCAGCAGCCAAGGCCAGAGTGAGGGTCCACAGAGCCACCATGGCAGCCGGCACAGACAGGCCTGTAACAAGAGACCCTTGGGAGGGAAGGCAAAGTGGTTCCAGAAAGCCCTATCCCAGAACCCCAGACGCAAGGCACTACCCTCCCCTGATACCCCAGATGCAAGGCACTACCCTCCCCTGATATCCCAGACCCAGGCACTAACTTCTGATACCCCAGACCCAGGCACTAACCTCTCCTGAGACCTCAGACCTAGGCACTACCCTCCCCTGAGACCTCAGACCTAGGCACTACCCTCCCCTGATACCCCAGACCCAGGCACTACCCTCCCCTGAGACCCCAGACGCAAGGCACTACCCTCCCCTGATACCCCAGACCCAGGCACTACCCTCCCCTGATACCCCTGATCCAGGCACTACCCTCCCCTGAGACCCCAGACCCAGGCACTAATTTCTGATACCCCAGACCCAGGCACTACCCTCCCCTGAGACCTCAGACCCAAATACTCCCCTAACCCCGCCTGAGACAACCCCTTCCTTAAGTCCCAGCGAACTCGGCACCTGAGACCCTTGACCTCAACAGAACACAGGAGCCCGTAGCCTGGGATCTAACTCCCTGGGGACCCTCAAGGGCCAGGACACCTTTAGATTCTTAGGCGGAGATCTGACCCTCTTCACGTAAAGGTCCCGGCCCAGGCTCGTGATCAGGGGCAGAAGTCCCAGGACGCTGACCCGCGCGAAGCGGGACGAAGGCAGTTCACGGCAGAGGAGGGGCGAACGCGGAACAGCGGGCAGCAGTGCCCTCTGCCGGCGCTTCCGCCTGGCCCGGTCCCGCCCCCGGCCCGCCCTGCGACCCGCCCCCTGACCCCGTGACTTCCGCGCGGCCACCCCACCCCACCCCCGCAGGGGCGGGGCGCAGGGCCAGGCAGGGGCCGCCCGGCCCGGGGGTGCGGCGAGGCCTTCTCTGACCGGGGTTGGGGCGGGGTCGCGAGCCTGCGGCGGGGGGCGGCCTGGGCGGGGGGCGGCGCGGTCGTGCGCGCGCGCTCCGACCCGGTTTGCGCCCCGAGGCAGTTGGCGCCAGGTGCGGGGCGGCGGGGGAGGTGCTCGCAAGCGGGTTGCCGGCGTTCGCGCTCGGCGCGCGGTGTGTTCCATAAGGGGCCTGAACCCGGAGAGTGTGGAGCGAGCGAATCGAAACAAAAACCGTGGAGCCCGCGGGCTGCTGGCTTTTCCTTCAACACTACTTTTGGTGTTTTTCTTGAAACAGGAGATGAAAATTTCTTCCCAACCCTTTTCCCTCCGTTCATGTGTGTGTCTGTTGTGCGTCAGGGTGTGTGTGTGTGATGTGTGTGTGATGTGCGGTGTGCGTGGTGGGGCGTGTGTGTGCTGTGTAGAGGGGCATATGGGGTTTGCTCTGCGTCCGGGTTACACCAATGGGAAGGGCCCATCGAAAGCGGAGATGACGGTCCTGGTTCCATCACTGCACAGCTTCGGACGAATGGCTTCACCTTTTTGGTCCGCAGTTTGTTTAGCTGTTTCAAAGTAAGAGAACGCCCCAGGGGGTGGTTAGGTGGGTATCTTAGTGCAGCTGAAGACCCCACGTAACTCCCCCAGGGAGCCTCCCCACAGCAGCTCCCCTAGGACATTCGTCGCCCACCCCCAGCCCTCCCCAGGGCAGCTCTCAGGCTTCAGGGTCCCCCACAAGGTCTGACCTCAGGAAGAGCAGGATGCGGGCTGCTGGTTGGGGAGGGCTTCCCGTGGTTACTGACCCTGGAGCCAGTGGGAGAGTGGACAGGGCCCCTGAAAGGCCTCTGGTCACTGGGGTGGGGGCCAAGACACAGTTTCCACTGCAGCCCTGGCTGGGGAGCTGGTATTTTGCTGGTGAAAGATGAAAGCTCAAGACGAGAGGCAGCGTGGGGGAGAAAATTGGAAGGGTAGCGACTCCCAGAGACACGGCTGGGCTTGCGGCTGCTGCTGGCCCCGTGGGGAACGGAAGGGGCTCCGGTGAGCCACCCCCTTGGTGTCACATTCCAGTGTGGTTTCTGGGCCGGTGCGTGGGAGCAGTATGGGGTGGGTGGCCAGGACGGAAAGTTTTTCCGTGGCCCAGAAATCTTTGAACTTGTAATTGGAACTATCACAGCTGGTTGGTGCTGTGAATCGGAGTTTAAAAGGAATCAACCAAAAGCACTTTCTTCCCTCTCCGCTGCAAGCTGGGAGCTACCCCAGGCAGCGGAGGGCCTGCCCTGACTCTCTGGAAGAGCCGGCCTGTGGTTGTGCTGTTATGCAAATGACTGGCACTTTCCCCCTGCAGTCTCTGGAGGCTGTTCTGGTGTGTGCACACGGGACAGCAGAGCCAGCCCAGCCCTGACCTCTGGGTGGGGGGAGGGCGCATGTGCTGCCAGCCGTGTTTGTTCAGAGCTGCGCTCTGCGGGCGCCAGAGTCTTTTGGAGATGTGAGCCTTTCTTGGCTTTGCTGCGGGAGCCGGCAAGAGGGTCAGCTTGGGACAGAGCCCCGGTGCGAGGCATCCTGCCAGGCTGCGGAAGTGGCTCTGGGCATTGCTAATTTGGAACTAACACCCACAGTTAGGAGAGGGGCCCTGTGAGCGGTGCGTGCCTGCTCTTTCGGCACCTAGGGCAAGGGAGGGCCTCCCATTTCCTGGGCCTGCTTGGGGTGAGTGGGGTGGGCCAGCCGCTTCATGGAGAACACTTGGCCCACCTGAAGGGCTTCTGCAGTGGTTCTTGGGACTGGCGGATGTGGGGGACCCAGGACACCGAAGACCATCTGTGCAGGCCTCCACCTCCTCCTTTGGGTCTGCTCCGTCCACTTTGCCCTCAGCAACCATCATTCCTGTCCCCTGGATATTGGAGGAAAATGATCCTAAGTCAGGCAGGACTGACTGAGCACAGGTTCTGGATCTGAGGGGCTCGGATGGTGTTGACTGTTTGTGCTGTGGTTAAAACCAGGGCTCATGACAGCCCATGTGAATGAAGCCAAGATGCTGGAAACTCTTTGGTTTAATACAGAAAAAGGCATCCAAAGACAGAGAGGGACAGGAGTGTATTGTGCTTGACCTGCTCTGTTGTCCCCTAACTGTCCTCTGTGAGGGCCTGGAAGATGCTCTCACTGAGACATTGAGGTGGACCTTGGAGTAAGGAAGGGAAGCAGCCACACCCTTGCAAGGCTCTGGGGAGCTGGCCACTGTGGGACACAAATGAAATGGATGACAAGATGCTAGGGTGGCAGAGGCCACATGGCCAGGCAGGTATTGTCATCATCATGGTCAGGCAGAATGGTGTGGCCTCAGAGATTTTTGGCTCCCTGGCCAGTGGAGTTACCCTCCAGGACAAAAGCAGGGGTCAGCACTAGTGGAGGTGGGGCTAGCGGTGGAAAGACCCTGGGTCTCGGGAACACGGCCCAGACGTGACTCACAGCGCAGCTCCTCTTCCAGTTCCTGGACATGAGTCACTCACAGACCTGGAGCCCTCTGCCAGAGGGAAAGACCTGGCAGAAACACCCAAGGCTGTACTAAGTCTTTTCCCTGGCCTCCGCTGCAGGGAGGTATGGCCTTTGGCCAGGATGGCCATGCACTAGGGGAAGGGACACCTCAGGCTCGGAGGGGTTGTTGGGCACTGGCTCTGAGCGAATGCCACTTCTTGGACATTTTTTTTTTTTTTTTTTTTGCGGTACGCGGGCCTTTCACTGTTGTGGCCTCTCCCGTTGCGGAGCACAGGTTCCGGACGCGCAGGCTCAGCGGCCATGGCTCACGGGCCCAGCCGCTCCGCGGCATGTGGGATCTTCCCGGACCGGGGCACAAACCCGTGTCCCCTGCATCGGCAGGCGGACTCTCAGCCACTGTGCCACCAGGGAAGCCCCACTTCTTGGACATTCTGATGACCCCACAGTACACTGATGAGAGCTGGGCTTTGGAAGTCAGACAAGTCATGCATTTGGGGCCACTGTCCATCCCACAATGGATACAGTGGTTACGTGAATTTATTTTGTATTAATCTCCCTGGTTCTCAAGCATATTATTCAAACAGATATGTTGAGCAGCTGGCCAGTGCAACACTACCTGCTGATCTAGACAAGGACTCTGAAGGTGGAAAGCTCAATGGAGTCTCCTATAGCAGTTGAGGAAACACCAGCTACTTTAACAGATAAACCCCCAAGTCTCAGTGACTCAATACAATAGACATTTATTTCTTGCTCACAGGAAGTCCAGTTTGCGACATAGGCAGGAATGGGGGTGGGTGAGTCTCTGCTCCATATAGGCATTTAGGGACCTGTGCTGAAGGAAGTGCTGCCATTTGTGACATGTGGATTTAAGGTCATCCTAGACGCCTACATTCAGCCAGCGGAAGAGCGAACAGAGAGCATGCAGGATAAGCAGGAGGTATTTATGGGTTAGGCCTAGGAGTGGCACACATCATTTCTACCCAAACCAATTCCAGAACTCTGTGACATGGCCTTACCTAGATGCGAAAGGGGCTGGAAATACAGACTCCGAGGTGTGGTCTGTTGGAGCCAGCAGTTGGAATATCAGTTTTCTGACACCTCAGTTTGCTGACTGTGGCAAAAAAGAACAAACCCCCAGGGGACTAGTTCTGTGGTATTGTTGGGGGAGAGTATATTTCTAGCAGCTCAGGGTAAGTGCTACTTTCAGTACTTCCAATGACGTTGTAGACACTAATTCCATGTATTAAATACCTTTCTGCTCAAACTAGCCATACGTGCGTCTATAATCTACACCTAAACCCTAGCTTTTACAGTCAGTGAGATGAGAGGTGGAGGAACTGGGAGGCCATGGTATGAGGGATCACTTGGAGAGACATGGAGGATGTCAGAACTTGGAGTGAGCAGACAACCTGTCATCAGGGTGCTGAAGTTCTCAGTGAATGAGAGGATGTGGTTGACCAGGAGGGACCCATTTGATCACTGCTGTATTCCTAGTGCCTTACCCTCATACTTTGTTGTGTGTGGGTAATAAACATTTTAAAATGCAGGATGTTGGACTTCCCTGGTGGCGCAGTGGTTAAGAATCTGCCTGCCAGTGCAGGGGACATGGGTTCGAGCCCTGGTGCAGGAAGATCCCACATGCCGCAGAGCAACTAAGCCCGTGCGCCACAACTACTGAGCCTGTGCTCTAGAGCCTGCAAGCCACAACTACTGAGCCCGCGTGCTGCAACTACTGAAGCCTGTGCGCCTAGAGCCTGTGCTCCACAACGAGAAGCCACCGCAATGAGAAGCCCGCACACCGCAACAAAGAGTAGCCCCCTCTCGCCACAACTAGAGAAGGCCCGCGTGCAGCAACGAAGACCCAATGCAGCCAAAAATAAATAATT